TGGTTACATCACTGGACTCCCATGTAGCCAACCATAGTTTGAGTCCTGGACCCGGCAGCTTAAAACTCATGCCAGACATTTGTGCGTGCATGCCCAAAATCCTGAGAGAAAAATGGAGAAGGGATTGTGGCATGGTCATCCCGTCTGGGGGATGATTTCTTGCACTGTCTCTCTCTCTCTCTCTCTGTATGTATGTGTGTGTGCATATATGTATGTGTGTGTGTGTGTGTGTGTATCTGGCAAGCACATGTGCCATATAGCAAAAATATGTCTCTTTAAAAAAAAGGAATTGGATGGGCCAGCATATGGCATGGTGGTTAAAGTGCTGGATTCCATATAACCAACTGCAGTTCATGTCTTGGACCTGGTGGCTGGTTTCTCAGTTTCCCTTTCTCTATCTTCTGTCTCTCTGGTCAACTTTTTTTAAATAACAACAAATTGAATTAAATAATTCTTTTTTTAAAAAAGTGAATTGGATGGGGCTAGCAGGTGGCGTAGTAGTTATGTTGCTGGACTCCCACATGGCTGACCACAGTTCCAGTCCTGGACCTGGTGACTTGAAACATGCTAGGAGCCTGTATGTACATGCCCAAGATTTGGGGAGAACAGAGAAGGGATTGCAGCGTGGCCGTCTCCCAGGGGTGTTATTTCTTACTTTCACTCTCTGTGTCTCTGTCTCCGTTGAGCCCATGCACCCTAAGGCAAAAACCTCTTTAAAGGGAAAAAAAAACAAAACCCTGAATTGGAGGGAAGTAGTGTGATCTACGCTCATCTCTAGCCACTTCCTGTCTCTCTTCAGCACAGTCAGGATTGTATACTTAGGCTTTTATTAAGTATTCGTTGAATGAATAGAAAACATTTTGAGCTAAACAGCCTTTTTTTCCCCATTATTTTATCAGGGACACACAAAGAAAATGAATTTCTTCAAAGTTGGGAAACATTTTACATTGGTGGACATGCCAGGTTATGGCTACAGAGCACCTGAAGATTTTGTAGACATGGTAGAGACCTATCTAAAAGAACGAAGGAAGTAAGGAAACGTTTTTCTTACCATACTTACATGTTTAACTCAAAAGCATGTTTCATTAGTAATCTACTCATGATGAAAACTTTCATTTTTCAAAAGACTTGTTTTAAATGGTTTATTTTATTCTTATAATAGTTTACAATGCAATATTTAGGACCTGTATGGTTTCTGCTTGTACATCAGCTTAATGTCAAATTCAAGTGTTTCTCTGAAGTGAGACGACAAAGAGCACTTCCACAGAAGTGGGCCATTAGTTGTTGTTGTTGTTGTTGTTTTAAATTATTTATTTAATTTTACTTATTCACTCATTCATTTTCATTTGACCAGTGAGAGAGACACAGAGAGAAGAGAGGGAAAGTGAGAAAGCAAGCCACCAGGTCCAGGACTAGAACTGTGGTTGACCACGTGGAATGTCCAGTGCCTTAACCTCCACGCGACCTGCCAGTCCCAGTCCTTTAGTTTTTTTAAAACCAAACTTTTAGCTGGCTAATTCTGAAAATGAAAATGTATGTGATGTTTACTAGATTTAAATAAATTTTGTCTCATCATTCTTAAAATATCTTAGCATATCTTCTGAAAAAATTAGTTTTTGTATCTCCATAGGTAGTCAAGTGAGTTGTAAGTTTCAAGAATTGTATGATATATAGAAAAGCAAATTTGTGAATTGTAAAAACTGTTTATAATTTTCTTGCTTGTTGTAGCTTTACATAGAAGCAAAAATGAAAAATTTACATAAGAAAATGCAAAATATAATGTCTTATTTCTATCATTAGTCTTAAAGTGATATTTAAAAACTTAAACATTTCTGTGACAACATACAGTTCACTGGATTTATGCCTCTCCAACTAGAGTCTAAGCTCTTAATGAAAGGAGCTCCTCCTCTTTATATCCAGTCTCAGGCAGGATGTTTTACAGCTTTTGAAAGAAATTAGTATTTAGTCAGTTTAGTTACTGAAAGTAAACAGCATTGGGACCCTATTGTACTATAGGATGAACTTCTTTCCTAGCAAATTCCTTTTCCCTAAAGAAATTTTTAAAATTCAGATTGTGAAATAGTCAAAGAAAAACTTCGGCGAGGCGGGAATGAGTATCTATTATGTTGCCATTAATCTTCTTTTATATTTTTACAGTTTGAGGAGAACATTTTTATTAGTGGATAGTGTTGTTGGAATTAAAAAGACAGACAATATTGCCATTGAAATGTGTGAAGAATTTGCACTGCCTTATGTGGTAAGTGTTTCTTTTGAATCACAGGTGCAGTTAGGTCTACCAGCTCCGGGTGCTTGTGTGTGCATACACATACTTTCTTTTCCCCCAGAGGCTTGTGCCATAGGACACATGTGCTCCTTGGAGAGACAGAGAGGGGGAAAGTGAGAAATCACCCCCAAGGGGTGTTGGTCACACCACTATCCCTTCTCTATTCTGTTGGTGGGATTTTGGGCATGTGCACCCAGCATGATTTTCAAGCCACCGGATATGGGATTTGAACAATAGAGGGCCATGTGGGAGTCTAGCACCTTAAACACTATGACACCTGCTGGCCCCACACACATAGTTTTTGATAAATGAAATAAGAAGTAGGCCCTGTTTCCTCAAAAGGAGAGTACCTTTTGAAAAATTTTTTCTATTTTCAGCCTTGAATATAAAATAACTTCTGTAGCACTTTTAGTCTCTTTTCTTCTCTTAGGTTGAAGTTTTTAAATTTACAGAATAAATTTTGTTAGGCAATTAATTTAGTGTTCCCAAGTGCTTTTCTTTTTCTTATATATATATATATATATATATAGGATCTTGGGCACGCACGCACATGCGCCCAGCATGAGTTTTAAGCCACCGGGTCCGGGATGCAAACCACGGTCGACTACGTGGGAGTCCAGCGACATATCCATTACGCTAACTGCTGGTTCCTTTTTCATATATTTTTAATGGCAATGTAAACAGTTGTCCAAAGCATGTTAGTAGCTCTTGAGTAGCAGCTTGGCAGACAGTACTTATTAGAATGTAAATAAAACTGCAACCGAAAAATTTGGAATAGTCATTCCAAGGCCAGCTTCAAAGCAATGATTAAGTGCTATTCCCTGGGAACCAGATCCCACATGGCTGCCTGCTATTCAAATCAAGGCCCCAGTGGCTTGAAGAAACCCTGGAAGCATGCATGTGTAGGCCCAAAATCCTGATGGGATGGAGAAACGGAGAAGAGATTGCATCGTGATGCACCACTGGTGGGAGAGCTCTCCCTGCACCCCCAAATACACAGCCCTCTGGCAGTTAAAAAAAAAAAAAAAAAGTTTCAAGAACATAGCAGCCTCTAGCACACAGAAGTAGAATTTTTAGATAATTAATAAATAGCTAATTAAAATATTAAGTCTTTAAAAAAATGTTTTCTTTTTAATGCTTAAAAAATGTGTTTTCTGGGGGCTGTCCGGTGGCATGTGGTTAAAGGCGCTGGATTCCCACATGGCTGACCACGGTTCAAGTCCCAGACCTGGTGGCTTGCTTTCTCCCTTTCCCTTCCTCTCTCTCTCTGGTAAAATTAAAAAATAATAACAAATAAATAATTCTTTAAAAAATTCTGGGGCCAGCAGGTAGTGTGGACTCCCTTATGGCCAACCACAGTTAAAGTTCTCGACCTGAAGGCTTGCTTTCATTTATTTTTGGAGAGGTTTTCGCTATAGGGTGCGTGTGCTCGCCATACAGAGAGAGACAGAGAGACAGAAAGCGAGAAAACACCCCCCAGGGGGGATGGTCACGCCGCAATCCCTTCTCCTCCATTCTCCTCTCGGGATCTTGGGCACGCATGCACACGCACCCAGCGTGAGTTTTAAGCCACCAGGTCCAGGATGCAAACCGCGGTCGACTACGTGGGAGTCCAGCGACATAGCCATTACGCTAACTGCTGGTTCCCAAGGCTTGCTTTCTTATTTTCCCTCTCCCCCCGCTTTTCTCTCTGGGCAAATTAAAAATAATAAATAATTTTTTAAATGTGTTTTCTTATAGATGGTATTAACAAAAACTGACAAATCTTCCAAGGGACATCTTTTAAAACAAGTACTTCAGATACAGAAATTTGTTAATATGCAAACACAAGGATGTTTTCCTCAGTTGTTTCCTGTAAGGTAAGAGTTCAACTGTTTTTAAAACTTTAGGTGCTAAAAGCCTATATATTAAACCAGTGTTTCTTAAATTGAGGTGCCACTTAAAATTAGAAGTATGTTGACGACTGCACACTTAGCCATGATTATTTTAGTACAGTCTGTTAGTACATTTATTTTCTACTTCCCTCTGTCCTTTCTTCCTTTTGCTTTTTCTTGCTGGATCTTCTCTGTAGGCACTTCATTCTTTCTGCCTCAGCCTACCTCAATCCTAGACCACAGAAGTGAGGACATTTTACTTTTTAAAATTGGCTAAACAATAGCTACTGTAAAGATGCTGCCATCTTTTTTTGCTTTTCCTTTTACCTCCATGAGATCGAGAGAAAGGGAGACAGAGGCAAACACTCCCAACAGGGTCTTCACGCCAGTCCTACCCCAGCCCCAGCCAGCCAGGATCACCGTGTGCATGTGTTGCACAATAGGGAGACATCGGGATGCAAACCCAGGACCTTCCTGTATGGCCTCAGCATCAGAGTGCTGTGTTATTACTGTACCATTGTGTCTGCCCTCCCCTCCCCCCATGCTTAATTTCAAAAACAACTGATGTTTATAGCAGAGAACTCATTCTGGCCATGAGGAACAAAAGTTTCCTTTAAAGACACCGTATATGGGGTCTACAGGTGGCATGATGGTTAAAGTGCTGGACTCCCACATGGCTGACAACCAGTTCAAGGTCTGTCAACAGGTGCATCTGCATGTGTACCCCAAATCCCGAGAGGAGAATAGAGGAGAAAGGAGAAGGGATTGTGGCCTGGCCATCCCCCAGGGGGTGACTTTTCACTTTCCCTCTCTGGTGAGTGCACACACCCAATGGCAAGAACCTAAGAAAATATAGAGACCATTTAAAGATAAAAAATGTTTCATGTAAGTTAGAACTAAGCATTAGTAGCAGACAGAATGATTATTTCCTGGTAATTTTCGAGATGACGTGGTTAGGGACACATCGTGGGTCTGTATTTTCACTGTACACCTTGGATACAGTGAGTAACGTGTAGTATGGCAGATGCAGTGCCATTCCTCTCTGGTCTTCTCTGGGGAAAAATGCAGTGTTTTCTTGGGCCACATTAATAGAATTAATTCACCCTGCATCTCTCCTTTAAATTGCATTGAGCTCAGTTTAAGAGTTAGTATGGTGCTACAAACGAGGGACAGGTCAGCAGTAGCCACATGCTGCGTGCCACCGTACCGTTCAGGGTTAAGAACAGAGCTGTCTGCAAACTGGTGGTTCTATGGAACATTAAGTCACCAGATCATCTAAAACACGGAATTGATCCTCACAGTAAACATTCTTATTTCACAGAAAGATTACAATTTGGAGAAGCAAAGTGGGCTGCAGAGAGGTATTTGCTGAACTAGAAAACTCATGATCCTTTGGAACAGACAGCCATGGTTTTTTATAGTTCCTCTGCTTCCTAGATACTGATTTTAAAGCAACTTCCTTTTCTCTGAGTCTGTTTTCTCATGGGTAAAATGTGGTCGTTAGAAGGATGAAATGAAACGTACTGTGACTAATATACATACATTACATACATAATCATGTGGATGTCTTCCTTGCTAAAGGTCAGAGTCAGTAAATGCCAAGGTCAGGCCCATGACCCAAACTGTCATATTCTGGTACTCCTTAGAGGCATTTCGTTCTTTAAGTTTGCCAACGTTCTCTGCTATAAGACCCTGGAATTACTGCTGCCACTGAATCCACCGTAGTGACAGGCACTGTAGGACACCACACAGCACTGGAAATCGGAATTGAGACATGGCAGCCTGCTGGCCTTTAAGAACTTCAGGGTTCATGCTACCAGAGTGGCCACGTACAGGAAGCTGGCAGGCTATATTCCTAGCTCTCGAAACCCCAGTAGGAAGGAGTTATGTACCACTTGCCTTTATCTGCATGGCTAGGCCCCAGGTCTTCCCTGCAAAGGGGACTTTCATAAATGGCTGTTATAAAATAAATCAGGTTTTATTTCCTTCTCTTCCTGTATGCTCTCGGTAGGAGTAAAGTGACATGTGCAGGGAACAGGTAACCACCTGTGAGGTGAGAAACGGCCTTGCAGCTTGCAAGCAAAAGCGAAGTGCTCACCTTCATGTCTGAACTCTGCCCAGCAGCAAAGAGCAGCATAAATGGTGCAAGGCTGCTAAGGATTGATGCTGGGGTCGGACTGTCTTTATAATATGATATGGAAGAAACGTATAAGTAGACAGAGTATAACTGCTTCTTTGGTTTTCTATGTAGTGAAATTGCAAGCAGATGAGAACTAAGGACAGAAAATTATGTAAGTTGATAGAAATATTGTAAATGAGTTCCAAGTGACACAGTTAGTGTGTGAACTGTTCACCCTGCATCTCTCCTTTCAACTGCATTAAGTTCAGTTTAAGAATGAGTAGGGTCTATTTTCAAGGAGGCAGCTTTGGTCAAAAAGTCTTAAATGCTCTATTTTATCAAGAAGGGATTAACAAAACAGCAGGTAATATTTTACATGTGTATAAAACTATAATATATCCAGGCTTGAGAAACCATGTGGTCTCTATACTGATGGATAGATGGAAGGATCGATAAGGACTACCTACAGTAATGATGATGGTCTTTTTTTTTTTTTTTTAAGATTAAAAAAAGGCCTAAATTATCGAAGTGTTTGAATTTTTGTCACAGAAAGAACAAAGTGAAAGAAATCAATACTTATTTTAGAAAACAGCCAAACAGAAAAGACAGCAATGGCACCAGAAGGTGGCACAGTGGTCACCCAACTAGATGGGCATGGGGTGTTTCCTAGTCCACGTCCCAGAGTCTCCCTGAATGTGCCAGCACACACATGCCTGGGATCCAGGCTGTCTGACACTGGGGTGGACAGCAGCATGCGGATCCGGTTGAGGGTGCTCTCTGTCTATGCAAGGAAGAATTTTCAAAGATTAAAAAAAAAAACCATACAGTGAAATTTTTAGTCGTGATGGAAATGAATCAAATAATGTGGATCATCAGATTTTAAACCTAAGAGGCGGCTGAGGGAGAGAGGAAAGGTAAAACAGATTAAAGACATTCTGCTTCATACATGGAATAAAGAGTTTATAAATAAATAACTTTTTAAATTAAAGGAATTTAGATCTGTTAGTACCTCTAAGTTAAGAGAGAATTTTTTTTTTCTTTTCAGTGTCGTGACCTATTCTGGAATCCATCTGTTGAAATGCTTTATAGCAAGTATAACAGGAAATCTTGGCTAACAGCTATCAGTTTAGCTTAAATCTCAAAATTTGGTATGCCAACTGGAGCTAAAATACCTAGAAGAATTGAACCAGCTGTGGCATGCTAGTTAAGGCGGCGGGATCCCACATGGCTGGCTGCACGAATGGAGTCTTGGACCCAACCACTTAAAATCATGCCAGGCGTGTGTGCATGCATGCCCAGAATCATAAGAGGAGAATAGAGAAGACTGTGGCATGACCATCCCCTTGGGGTGCTTTCTCAACTTCTGTCTCTCTCAGATGAGCACAGAGTACACCCTACATTAAAATGAAAAAACAAAAACAAAAAACAAAACCTAGAAGAATCTCAGCATTGTTTTAAATGCTGTGTATCTGTAACTTGCAAAGGATCACTCCAGCTTTAAAACTTGGATCTTCCCAAAGCAAGAATGAATTTGTGCCTGAGGGAGAAAAGAGGTTTATAAGTTAAAAGCAAATGCGGGGAACCAGCAGTTAGCGTAATGGCTATGTCGCTGGACTCCCACGTAGTCGACCGCGGTTCGCGTCTCGGACCCGGTGGCTTAAATCTCACGCCGGGCGCGTGTGCGTGCGTGCCCAAGATCCCGAGAGGAGAATGGAGGAGAAGGGATTGCGGCGTGACCATCCCCCCTGGGGGGTGATTTCTCGCTTTCTGTCTCTATGTCTCTCTCTGTCTGTCTGGCGAGCGCACGCGCCCTATAGCGAAAACCTCTCCAAAAAAAAAAAAAAAAAAGCAAATGCGTATCAAAGTCCACAAAGTGAAAACCCACTTCTGCTATGTAGTGAAGGGTTTGCCATGTTACTTATTTGGCTTTTTATCTTGTAAAGACAATGTCTATCGTGTGTACTTTTTTAAATATTAAAATGGACTACATAAAAAACGCTGCTTTTCTGTTAAGTATTAATAGGTAAGTTGCGGAGTAAATAGTCCTATGTATGTGTATAATTAATCTTTTCCCTGGAGTCCTTACTTGAATATTTAAAAAAAATAAATTCTTGGTAACATTTGTCAGTCCACGTTAGAAACACCAGTCATTTCCGGCTGAGACCATTCACCATAAGGTGAACACAGAATCAAAATCAGAACACCAGAATTCATGTCCTACTTCTGTTATATATTATATACTGGACACTGGGCAAGTTACTTGCGTTTTCTGAACTTTTAGTAACTGTAACTTCACAAGCTGTAAGATTACATGAAGTAACATGTGAGAAGAACTGCTGCACGTTTGTAAAGCCAAACCAACCCAAGAATACAGCAAAACTCACAGGGACTTACCAGAGAAAACATCCTGTCACGGAGAAGAAACAATTTCTCTAGGGAAAAACAAATAACAAAAACTAGCTGTAGGTGAGAAAATTAATCTGTAAAAGGCAAGCGAAAATGGTTTGGAATTGGTACATTTAAGATTCAGAATGGGAAAAGTCTTACTTTGAACTAAAGTTAATGGAATAAATTATGAAGATGCTTCTCACCTATTCATATAGTGGTTTAGTTTTTCAAAGTGAAGCTGAATATTAAAAGGTTATTGGTAGTTCTGGGACCAGCAGTTAGCATAATGGCTAGGTCGCTGAACTCCCATGTAGCCGACTGCGGTTCAAGTCCTGGACCCGCTGGCTTAAGCTCACGCTGGGCATGTGTGTGTGTGCCCAAGATCCCGAGAGGAGAATGGAGAAAGGATTGTCTTGTGGCCATCCCCCCTGCTTCAGGACAATCACAGAAGACAAATGTGCAGGGAGAAGCAGAAGCCTGGATCTTTACTAGGGATCATTTCTTTATCTTCTGAATCAGAAATTGAGACATGAAGTCTTGTAAGAAAGAGGCTGTATAAAGTGGTGGGTGCCTAAAGGTAACAACTCCCAGGAAGTAAGCTGGGCCCTGTGGTTAACAAAACTATACCACGCCAGTTCTGATCTGCCTTCACTTCCTAATATGTAAAGGGAATATGCTGAACTCACAATACCACTTAGAGGCTGATGGCCATTTCTAGACTTAACATGAATGACTTCTCCATTTTAAGGCACCAAGTAGCTACTACCACTTGGTAAAAGCCAGACTTAATAAATAAAAAGTGACCAGAAACTGATTAAAAATTTCATCAATTTAATTTTTGTTTGTTTGTTTGTTTGTTTTTGGAGAAGTTTTAGCTATAGGGCACGTGCGCTCCCCCAGAAAGTCAGAGAGAGACAGAGACAGAAAGCAAGAAATCACCCCCTGGGAGGATGGCCATGCCGCAGTCCCTTCTCCTCCGTTCTCCTCTCGGGATCCTGGACACGCATGAACACGCGCCCGGCATGAGTTTAAGCTACCGGGCCTGGGACTTGAACCGCGGTCGGCTACGTGAGAGTCCAGCAATTGAGTTAAACCAGGATATTTAATAAGGTTTCAGGGAAGAAGCTAAACCAGTGTTTCTGTAACTTTGGATTTTGGCATACCTGTCTCCTTGATAAAAAGCAGACCTCTAAACTCCTCCCCTGGCCCATGTTTATTCATTCCTGCAAAGGTGCTAGCAACACTAGTAACCAACCCAGTGACTCTCCGAAAGTCTGAAGTTTGAGAACCACTGGGACCGGTAAGTGGCAATGAGCAGAAAGCAAATAGACCAGACAAAAATGGAAAGGAAATACAGAAAATAAAATGATAGGATGACCAAGGAAAAGGATGCAGAATATACTAAGGTACTGTCCTTTTTCTATAAATCTATGTAACATCATAAAATTTGAGCTACCATAGAGGCTTATTGACCTATGGAAGAGTTAAGTCAGAACACTTGAAAGGTACCTCAAACTACACATCATCATTTGAAAATACGTAAGATTTACCCTCTCGGTGCAATGGAATAAGCAGCGTAGAAACAGAAAGGCCAGAGTGACCTCACAGGTGCTTCCTTGCTATCCCACCTTCACTTACGGCTCAGAGGTTTTTGCAGACTTACCTATTCATTTTAAAGCCCTGGCAGATCATAAAACTGTTCAGTTTTGCAGGGACCTACCAGCCTTAGTCAAGGAATTATTTCTGTTTCTCAAGGGTAAACTGTGGCAGATTTTTAATCTTAACATCTAGCAAGTAATGAAAATCAGAAACATATTGATTAAATGACAAAGCTACTATAAATGTTTACTGAGTGTTTATTAATGGACTCCTGTGCAGTGAGGCACTAAAGCAGCACCTCTGAGTCCCAGCAGTACTTCCAGATCTCAGCAGAACATGCGACCAGCTTGGTAACTGCTTAAAAGGCTCACAAATGAACATCTAAACTCCCATTAAAGCAAAAATGGCATCAATGTCATCGGTCTCCTTGCCGGCTCCTTCTGCGTTGTGTGTGTGTCTTCGCATCATTGTCCATGAACTCGTGTTATTTTCACTGCTTCCTATAAGATTTTCCTGAATCTGTTTCTCCTTGGTTTGTATGACAGGATTTGAAATTCTGCTCCTTAAAAGCTGCTTACTGTTAGGGTAGAGGTCAGTTCTGGTAACTGCAGGGCATGCGAGTCTCCACTCAGCACTGCCGTCTGTCGTATTCTGAGTCCCTTGAGTGAACTGATAAATTTCCTTTAGAAGTATTGACTGTGACTTTCTCTGTGGTTTGCTTTGTCTCAGTAAAAATATATTTTGTGATCTTCTTTGTCTCTGATGGTGCTTTGAAGTTTTGATACCTAAGCTTCGAAGAAGGCAGTTGCAAATAGATGTTTTCATACACTCTAGTTTCTTTGGCAAACTTTAAGAGACAGAAAGGAGAAATGTGAGTTAAGGAAGATATAGAAAAACAACGCTCAAGCACTTTCATACATCTTTCTACCAACTGCCAACAGGAAGTACACAATTCACCTACAAATCCTATATGCCCGTGTACAATCCTGGGAAGACACAGACAGGAGTTTGGACCCAAATCTGTTTTCAGAGCACAACTTCTGATTCGAGCTGTGGGCAGACTGTCTGCGCTTTGCTCTCAGAGTAAACTAGCTTCTACAAGGGCCTAGCAAGGAGGCCGAGCAGGGAGATACCGCTATACGTTAGTGCCAGGGCTCTTCCCACCCCACCGATCTGGTCATCATGTAACGGGAGCAGAAATGGAGAAATAGTCACCAATGAGAAACATCTGCCAGTATGTATTGATCCATACCTAGATAAGCAACGTTGCGTTGTGGGAGGAAATGAACAGCCTCAAAAAAAGAAAGTTAAGGGGATTTATAAAGGATTGAGAAAACAAGGCTTTTTGGCCAGAGACAAACCGACAGGCTTGAGCTACCCTCACTGAGATTGCAATCATCATCTTCAGGTCTAGAAATTCAGAACTCAGGCATTTTACTTAGGCATTGTACTTCTGGTCTTCTGGGTCCACTGCCAGAAGACCCACCAGTGCCTACCTGAGCTGCCCCACTGTTTGTGACAGTCACATTTTAAAAGCTTACCACAGGTCTATTCTCTTCCTTTTTAAACAGATACTAAACTTTGAGGAAGCCCATTTAATGACCTAATTCATCTGTTTCCACACCATTTTCTTGTCTTACTATGAGCAGTGACTTTGAAACGGGGAGAAAGTACATGTACCTTCAAACTGAAATGGAAACAGAATGAATGAAAATAGGAATTGGGGAACCTGGATTAAGTTCTAGATCTCCACTGAGTACAACCATGTCCTCCTCTAAAAAAGTAGAATAATACTGCCTACCCTTGCAATTATTGTGGACATTAGATAAGTTATAAAGTACATTACAAATTTAATACTCAGCCAGCCAGACAGGGCTATATGAAGGAACACTATATTTGGGGGAGTAATGAATAACAGCTTAATCAATAAACACAAGTTTGTTACCCTTCCTATTAATCATAATCATCTCTGCCTCATCTACCCCAACTTTAAACCAAATTTTAAATAGAATGCCTTTCTCCATCCCAGGTTGAATTTTCAACCCTAGATAGATTCCCTTTAGTTATTTTTTTAATAACTGTCTTATTTTAACTTTATTTTTTATTATTCTTTTTATTTTTATTTGACCAGAGAAGGACAGAGAGAGAAAGAAAGAGCAAGGGAGGAAAAGTGAGAAAACAAGCCGCCATATTCAAGATTCAAACCACTCGGCCATGTGGGAGTCCAGCGCCCTTAATGGCCACGCCATGCAGATCCCCTTTAAATGGCTACAGACAACTTTAGGACATCTCAATGTAAAATGCCCTCTATTAATTTATCCCTTAGGGATATTTAACAACTTTTTCCAAGTTTTAAATCAAAACTTGTTATAAAGGCTTGAATACATACCAGGGTTTTTTTTCCCTAAAACAGTAATATCTTTTCCATTAGTTTTAGAAAAAAAATTAACAAATTATAGAGTTTTAAGTGGTTCATCCATAAAAACCATTATAAAGCCCTGAAAAGATACACACCTATAACTAGATAAGAAGTTATGATACATGAACAGAATAGTTCTAGAAAGACACATAAAAAACTGGTCAGAGGATTGCCTCTGTGAAAGGAGAATAAGGATCTTTACATATTTGTGTCTGATATTGTTAACCATTACTTCTATTGTTTTTTCAATAAAATTAAGCCCTAAAGTGTCTAACTTCATGTAACACTAGCTCACAATCAAAGATAATCATCTTTATACAATTCAATCAGTGTTATGACCACAGGAAAAGAAAAAGGTCAGTCTGTGGAGAGTCTAGCTCCTGTGAACATTAAGTCTGACCTTGATCCTTGGAGTCTAGGGTGGGCTCATGGAGGACAGGCATTTTCTGCTTTGGCGCTCTCACCCTCACCCCACTGTACTGAAGCTGTCTGCAGACGGGCTGCCTCTCCCACAGAGCATGAGTCTCCTGGTTACTCAGTCTACCTCCTATGGTTATGTCCCCAGGCTTAGCACTCCACAGGCATTCTTTTTTTTTTTTGGGGGGGGGGGCCACGTGCGCTCGCCAGACAGAGAGAGACATAGAGACAGAAAGCAAGAAATCACCCCCCGGGGGGATGGTCATGCAGCAATCCCTTCTCCTCCATTCTCCTCTCGGGATCTTGGGCACGCATGCACACGCGCCCGGCGTGAGTTTTAAGCCACCGGGTCCGGGACGTGAACTGCGGTTGGCTATGTGGGAGTCCAGCGACATAGCCATTACGCTAACTGCTGGTTCCCTCCGCAGGCATTCTTAATGCTCTCTGAATGAACAGATGGCCATGATGGAGTAAAAATGAGTAAGTCCAATTAACCTAAGTTTACTTTTTTTTTTTTCCCAATGAACTTTGCCCACATAACAAAAGCAAACAGAATTGCAGTTTGAATAGATCCCACTTTTAGCCCTCTATGGGTGCTGCACTTCCATTTTAAAGAGAGGTGACTTGAATGTATATATTTTTGCCCTAAACGTCAGCAGAAAAGAAAACAAAATTTCCAGAATATGCTTACCGATAACCTTGAGCTTCCACGTGTTTAAGCCGGTTACTTTTAAGAAGTTTGCTACCCAAAAAGGTGGCCTGGGCCTTGAGTTTTTGGCTCCTACACCATACAATTGCCATTTGGATTTCTTCAGAAAGTTGTCTGAAAGTCTCAGCTCCTCGGAATCTTAGCACGAAACTTTTGACACAAGGAGTTCCTATCCCTTTCTGTAAAGAATATTTTGTTGTCTTTGCTTTGGACTGAGAACATACAAACTCAAAGGCAGTCTCCTGAAATGTGAAAAGATGAGAAAAGTATATTGAATGTTTCATTGTAAATATATGACAAGAAGAGCTGACTCACTTTTGAAACATAAAAAGCGTCTTTTTAAAAAGAGGAAAACTTGTTTCACTCATTGAACTTTTCTTGTTTTAAAAACTTAATTTTGGGGTCAGCTTGTGTCATGGTGGTTCAGTGGCTGAATTACACATGGCTGACTGCACAGTTGTGTTCCACACCCTGGGTGCACATGCATGTGTGCCCAAAATCCCAAAAGGAGAGAGAGGTAAGAGAAGGGACTGCAGCAAGACCATTCCAAACAAGGTCTGCTTTCATCCTTTCTCTTTCTCTAGCAAGCACATGTGCCCTCTGACCAAACTAAAAAAAAAATAAGTAAATTTTTAAAATTTCAAAATAAAAACTTAAGTTTTTTACCCATTACTCCTCATACAAGCTGTTAAGATTTTGTTTATTGTCCCTCTTTGTATCTGCAGTTGAATTTAATTGACGTGGGAAACACGATATAAATATTCTAACACAAGTATCATGTATACAAGAGCAAAACTTTACATGATTAAATGCTGGTCAAGTATTAAATAACGGAGGGAGGGTGTCACTCACAGGCCTTTCTCTACCATCACTGGACTACCACAACTTGTTTTTCACTTATTTCCATATTCTCAGTAACCCTCCTCAATAAAGAGTCATAAATGTGACTGGAACACTTGAGGACAGAAGCACGAGACCTTGCAAAGCACCCAGCAGAGTAGGGCTATTCCTCAGTTAATGATGGCTGAAAACATGTTAAAAACGTTTAACTGGGGACCAGCAGTTGACGTAACGGCTATATCACTGGATTCCCATGTAGCCGACCGCGGTTCGAGTCCCGGACCTGGTGGCTTAAACTCACACTGGGCGCGTGTGTGCACGCGCGTGTGTGTGCCCAAGATCCCGAGAGGAGAATGGAGAAAGGACTGCGGCATGGTCATCCTCCCAGGGGGGTGATTTCTCTCTGTCTATCTCTGTCTTTCTGGGAGCACACGTGCCCTATAGCAAAAAACTCTCCAAAAACAAAAACAAAACAAACAAACAAACAAAATAAAAAACGCTTAACTGAGTGCCAATTCTGATTCAACTAGCTTCTGACAAGGTACCTTTATTTCTTTAACCCCTTTGTGCTATAGTAAGTCTAATTTGGATTCTACTAGCATTTCCTATTTCTACCTACTAGGTTTGTTTCTATCCTTCATTCAAAGCTTACCTTCTTCCAAATTTCTCACACTTAAGAACTTAAAAAGGAAGTAGAAAGTATCAAAGTAGAAGCCCATCGACAGTTATGTTTAGTGATCAATAAAGGATGTGTGTCCTAAAAGCAAGCTGAGCATATTGGTGCAAATAGCTAAAAATATGGTAGTAAATAGGTCTTAAATAAAAGAGATGCTGACCAGCTAGCTTCAAAACCAGCTCACTTGTGACATGTGGACGGTCTACAGAAGTTGCAAGGGTCACAAAGCGCCACAGTTCTCTTGAGACACAGAGCTGCAAAAACTATTTTGGGGACTGGTATAAAATGGTAAAGGACAGGGACTATGATGCCCAACTGTCCTTAGGCTCCCACTCCGCTGCTTATTTGCTATATAGTCCAGGCAAGCTTCTTGGCTTTCTATGCCTTCCTCTCCTCACCCGAAATATGAAAGCAGTAGTAAGACCCCCTACCTTACAGGACTTTGCAAGAATTGCATGAGTTTGTAACATAAAAAGCATTGAGAACAATGCCTGGCAGAGCAATTGTTAGCTATTATTATCCCCCCTTGACTCAAGAATTGGTCAAAATATAAATACAAACTGAACTCTCTATAAAGTTCAAGGAAGTACTTTGACTTACTAGAAATGATTAAGAATTCTTAAATAGAATGTAAGAAATAACCCACAAAAGAAAGCAGTACATTTTGCAAAGATACAGGGTAATAAATTACTGAGTGAAAGAGGGTGACAGTATATACCTGTTGCTAGGTCCACAGCAAATAGAATTTAGACACTAAATAATAAAAATCATGTCAAAGCTTAAACCATGTGGCCAACAGGTGCTTTACTGACTTGTAAATACATGACAGCAAGGAAAGCTGACTCACTATCAAAATGTGAAAATACGCAGTCTTTTTTAAAAGAGGAAAACTTTTTACTCACTGAGTTTTTCTTTTCTTAAAAATTTAATCTTGGGTCGAGCCTGTGTCATGGTGGTTATGGCACTGGACTACAACATGGGTGACCACAGTTCCAGTCCTGGACCTTACGGCCTGAAAAACACACTAGACATGTGTGTATGCCCAAAATCCCGAGAGGAGAATGGAGGAGGAACTGTGGTATGGCCATCCTCCCAGTGCAGGCACCTATGGCAAAAACCTTTATAAAACCTCAACAAGAAAGGAAAGACATGATGAGGATGACGACAAAAAATTATGACAGTCACGAATTACATCTAAGACCAATTAAATGTTGACAATGATCCGGATTGCCAAACACCTCAAATGCACTGAAAATAGCATGCTTGGGGCCAGCAGGTAGTTAAGGTGCTGGACTCCGACATCGCTGACTGCAGTTTGAGTCCTGAACCTGGCGGCTTGCTTTCTTACTTTTTGACTCTGTCTCTCTCTAGTCAAATTAAAACATAATAACAACAAATAAAACTGACAATTCATAAAACAAAAATAAAATAAAATTTAAAAAAGAATAGCAAGCCATCAGGTCCAGGACTCAAACCACAGTCGGCTATGTGGGAGTCTAGTGCCCTTAACCACCATGCTACCTGCTGGCCCCCATCTTACAGTCACTTTAAAATTCTAGAAGAACTCCTACAAAAACATTCCTTGAGATATTCTACTAACTAAATTCACTGTGTGCTTTAAAAACTGTTATTTGTCTTCATTGAGAAACAACTCTGAAAACTATGACAGCACTAAGGGGATAAAAGAGGACATTCGATCCCTGCCCTTCACTGGTAACGTCCTCTAAAATTAGTAGAAATCAGAAGCTGTGTTAAATGAAGCCAGACAAACCTCAATAGCTTTGCGTTTCAGCTGTTTGCAGAAAGTCTTCACATCAAACTCTGATGACTCTTCTGTGGAGGTGGGAAAATCAGATTAAGAAACTTAGGTATACTATTTCCAAATCTACAACAAATTCTAAATGCGTGATATTTCTTGGCAAAATACTATTAAAGAAATAAAGAGAAGGCGGCAAGCAAAGAACTATGAAGCAACAGACACAAAGTGCTCAAGCTTAAAAACACAAACATTACCACAATTCTCAAAAGATAATCAATATGGGTTAAAATGAAAAAGTACATATTAAATTTATGTCTATACAGTACATAACTATTGTATTTTCAACAGTCTGTTGTTGCTATTGCTATAACAAAGCAAATTACCTTTGAAGACTTTCTTATTCTTTACTGGTTGTCCAAGATCCACATTATTCTGTATCTCAATCTTTGTTTGTTTAGCTTTTTTGGAAATTGTAATTAAGGGGTCTTCACTGGACCTTGGTGATTGCTCTTTTGTTAAAAACAGTTTATTTAACAATTTTGTTACTCCTTTGGCTGGACCTATTTTTTTCTTAAAGACTTCCAAATAGGGCTGTCCGAGAAATTCAGTAATATCAGAAGGAAAGGTAAAATCTTTGAAGTAAGGCATTGGTTGAATCCTAGAGACCTCTTGAAGCAATCCAAACAATGGTTCATATAAAGTAATCAACCTTTTTAAAACATCTTTATAGAGAACCCTAGAAAAAGAAACAGAAGCTTATGAATTAGCTAATGATTACAATGCACAGATTATATAAAAGTGCAAAATTTAAAGTTAAAGACAAATGGCTGTCAAGCTCTGCCACTATATAGTTTTAAAAATGCTATAGCATGTATGTGTAAATAGCTGCATCAGTCCAGTCCAAACAGAAAAAAGAAAGTACAAAATGTTACTCAAAAAAATGTCAAAGGTGCGTATCAAAATTAAGTGTTTTTTTAATCTAGGTAGTAAGGTATGCAAATTTTAAATTCTTCACATTTTTCTATATTTTTGAATTTCTTAAAATAAACATGTATTGAGGCCAGCAGGTGGGCTGGTAGTTAAAGCAGTGGACTTCCACATGGCTGACCATGGTTCAAGTCACAGACCTGACAGCTTGCTTTCTCTTTTTCTCTCTTTCTCTCTCTCTCTTTCTCAAGCACACATGCCCTGTAGCAAATGATGATGATGATAAATAAAATTACTAAAAAGATAAGCATGTGTTATAGTAATCAGCAAAAATTAAGAGCTATGTTCATTCAAAAATGAGTATCAACAGTTTAATATTTTTAAATAGTATGGTTAAGTCCAACTGGTTGCATGGCAGCTAAGGTGGCTGGATCCCATATGACCAACTGCATAGTTCAAGTACCAGACCCAGTGGCTTGAAAACATGCCAGGCACATGCGTGTGCATGCCCGAAATCCTAAAAGACTGAAGGAGGAAGACTGTAAAGTGGTCATCCTCCTGGGAAGTTCTTTCTCACTCCCCTTGACCCCCATTACTAGTGAGCATATGCGCTCTATAACAAATTTAAAATATATAATATATATATATATACATATGACTATTAAATCAAACACTGTAACCTTTGATTTTAAGAAAAAGCAGAATAATAAGCACCATGATCAAAACAGCCCTTAAGTAGTCCTTCAGATACTCAGGTTAAGATACCAGAGTAAAGTTTTCAATACCCAAAGGCAAAAATAACTTTCTACTTTTTTTTTTTTATATATATTTTTTCTTTTTTTGGAGAGGTTTTTGCTATAGGGCACGTGTGCTCGCCAGACAGAGGGAGACAGAGGGACAGAAAGCGAGAAATCACCCCCCAGGGGGGATGGCCACGCCACAATCCCTTCTCCTCCATTCTCCTCTCGGGATCATGGGCACGCACGCACACGCGCCCAGTGTGAGTTTAAGCCACCGGGTCTGGGACGCAAATCGCAGTCGACTACATGGGAGTCCAGTGACACAGCCATTACACTAACTGCTGGTCCCAACTTTCTTTTTCACCATTTTTTTTTAAGTTTTCTATATTCGAGGTAGAGCTAATGATCCTAATTGATTGAAAAGGCCCAAAACAGGTCACCTTACAAACATGGGCAGATTCTAAGAAAAATTACCTCAAATCAGGTTCACTATATTGAGATATACAAGAGAGTATCTCTTTAGTTCCCATGTATTGCCAGTGTTCTTTACATCAACACACATCAAAAAGCAGTGGTGTTTCAGGTGGATGAAGAGTTTAGAGCATATAATGCAAGTCAGAAATTGTATTTCTAATTGCCATTGAAAGTTAGAAACCAAGGACCAACAGTTGGCGTAATGGCTATGTCGCTGGACTCCCAAGTAGTCGACCACAGTTCGAGTCCCGGACCTGGTGGCTTAAACTCACTCCAGGTGCAGGTGCTGCATGCCCAAGATCCTGAGAGGGGAATGGAGGAGAAGGGATTGAGGTGTGGCCATCCCCCTAGGGGGTGATTTCTCGCTTTCTGTCTGTCTCTCTCTTTCCAGCGAGCACACGTGCCCTATAGCAAAAACCTCTCCAAAAAAAAAAGAAAGTTAGAAACCAGGCCAGCCCATGGTCTGGTGGTTAGGTTAGGGCAAATGGATCCCACATGACCAAACGAGCAGTTTGAGCTCCTGACCTAGAAGCTTGAGAAACACACTGCAGGTGTATGTGTGCATGCCCCAAATCCCAAGGCAGAGATGGAGGGAGAGCACTGCAACAAGGCCATTCACTACATAGAGTGCTTTCTTCTTTTCTCTCCTTCTCTCTCTGCTTCCCCCATACCGTGGCAAGTGCCTGCATCCTCTGGCAAATTAAAATTTTAAAAATTTAAAAATCAAGTGGCAGAGAGAATCAGGAAAACCATTACTGCCACCAATTTTGTATTATTTCAGTTTCTAACCCTAGAAATCTGTTGGTTTAATTGTTTACTGTTAAGTAGCTCTCGTGGCTTGACATACCAAGCCTAGTCCTTTGACATAACCATCGGCACTTACTTTCCTAATCCACCTCACATATAAAGGGTCTTCAAAAAGTTTGTGGAAATGTATATTATGAAAAAACTATGCATGAATTTAGAGTTTTTGCACAAAAACAAATTCAGTCCTTTAATTCCATTACACACAAACTTTTTGAAGTCCCCTTGTAAACGATGATCAAATGAAGGGAACTCTTGTACCTTCAGTATCTCATGGGAAATCTTACATTAAAACTACTAATAAGAAATCTAAGTTAGGGGCCAGCACGTGGCATAGTGGTTAGGGCGCTAGACTCCCACATGGTCAACCATGGTTTGGATCCAAGACCCATTAGCTTAGAATTCACACTGGGCACAGTGTATGTATGCCCAAAATCTTGAGAGGAGAATGGAGAAGGGATCTCTCTGGTCATCCTCACTGGGGGTTAGTTCTCACTTTCTCTCTCTCTCTCTCTCTCTCTCTCCCTCTCTCTCTTTCTCTCTCTCTGTCCCTTTAGCAAGGACACATGCCCTATAGCAAAAATCTCTTAAAAAGAAAAAAAAAAAAAGCAATCTAGGTTAAGCTAGAGATATAAGATTTCAAAGACATGTACATACCATAACCTGCTCACCAGCCCTACCATCACAAGGTTTAATATAATGAACTCTTGCAAACCTAGATGTTTTACAGTCAAGCTGGAGAATCAATTTAAGGTGGGAAAACAAAACCAAAGAAACCTGGGTTAAGTTAAAAATATGAAAGAAATAGACTGAAACTAAAGACAAACGTCTTGAAGGTATTAACACCTTAAAATATGTTATATTTAAGTCATGAAAACTTGAAAATATAGAAATATACACTCTGCTAAGGCGCTCATTATTCAATTTAGTTTCTAAGGTTAAGAGTTTCTGGCTGTCAGTGCTCTTAGGATAATACAAGCAAGATAAAGAGCAGTCTCTGGAAATGGCCTAATCGGGCAATTCCTGACAAGGTGGCCAAGCAGCAAAACATCAAGAATTCCCATAGGTTATTACTCCTACAGAGCCCTAGCTTTTAAATAGTAAAACTATGAAATAAATCCAAACAGTTCCAGGTCAAAAGGAAATACTGCAGTAGACTCAAGGATACAGGAACGCCTTGCAGCAGCAGTCCAGCAGGCGGAGCAGCAACTTGCAGGCTCCCAAGACCTTCATCAGCACCAACTCCACCACTGGCTGGCTGGGGACAACACATGCTTTGGTGGTTACAGGCTGGTTTTCACTGGACAAAAATAGAAAAGTACATTACTTTCACTTTTAAACACAAAGCATTTCTACAGCAGTTTTCAAGCAGAAACTTTGTAAGCGCAATTTGAGGTGTTATGCTCAGTAACAGCCCACTGATACATCCACATACCCTGCAGTGACCCAGATTTCAGTGTCATGACAGCAACCACTTAAAACAAAATGTGTACAGCTGAGGCTTCACTGGTTATATTCCAACACCGAGCAGAGAAAAGTCCGAAGATCACAGAAGACACTGAGTCCCAGCCAGCCCACCACACCCCAAAGTGACGGGATGACTTACTTGGAAGAAAACAACTCAGACAGCTCTTGAATTGAACCCTCCAAATTCATATTTTTCAAACGTTTTAAACATTGTTCGACCTGAAAAAAAGAAAGCAACTCAAATTTATATATATATAGTGCAGACAGGGTCATTGATATGACCAAGAAAGAGATCCAGCTTTTCAAAATGTCAAAATATGTTAAATAACACAGAATACCTCTTCCCTGTTTTTAAGGGTAAAGAGACTTGAAGTCTAAAGCAGCCATTTTTGGTTAAAGATTTAGAATTTATGCAGCTAAGCAGATTTATCAAATCAAGTAATGATTAAGAAATTACTACATAAGTCAGAATATGCTTGATGTTATAAAGGGGCTAAAATGAGTATAAGATTATTCTTAATTTTGCTGATGCAACAAAATGTTTAATAGTGAAACTATTAAAACCAGATATAAACTACCAATAAATTCTAGCAAAGTTTAGCTAAGTACCACAGAGATGGAAACATGATTGGCTCTATCACTGAACAAATGTATACTGAACACCTACTATGTGTAAAGCATGCTGGGAGATAAAATGGTATATAAGACACTGTCCAACCTCTATTTGCTAAAAATCTAGTAGTAAAATGACAAAGACAGGGGCCAGCAGGTGGCGTAGTGGTTAAAGAGGCTGAATCCCACATGGTCAAAAGTGTGGTTTGAGTCCTGGATCCAGAAGCTTGAAGAACACATTGGGCACATGTGCATATGTGCCTAAAATCTCAAGAGGAGAATGGAGAGAACGCTGAGGCATGGCCATCCCTCACAGGAAGTGATTTCTCACTTTCCTTCCTCTCTCTCCCTAGTGAGCGCATGTGCCCTACAGCAAATAAAGTAACAACAACAAAGCACAAAGCCATAAGAAAATAATTAAATACTAAAATAAAGAGACATATTGGGGGGTCAGATGACATTACAAATATCTAACACCCTGCGAGGCAATCCCACGTGGGAATGTCCCTGGTTCAAGGGTGGCAAGCCTCATGGATGCTGCCACATGCTTTCCCATGATCCAGGCTGACTGAGGGCTGGGGTGGGTCACAGTATCAGGACCCTTTGAGGGATGCTCTCTCTCTCCTCTCTGCTTCTGTACCATGTGGAAGAAATTTTTAAAGAGAGAGAGCTTGTATTTTGAACCTGCTGTATCCTCAGTATTTCCATCCCTTCTCTGCTTTATTTTTGTTCACAGGACTGTCACCTCTTGAGGGACCACTGACTTACTGCCTTTCTCTCCCAACTATAATACGATGGTAATAGATTTCATCCATTTTGTTTACCAATGTAAGTCAGTCTTAGAACAGTGTTGAGTAGGCACTCAACAGCAATTTTTATTTGGAAAAAAAAAAATAGGTAACAGTATCTTGCTAGAGTTATATACTACTAAAAATGGAATCAAATTTATGAATTCTATCAAAATCAGTTTTCGGATCAATAGGAGTATTGATCCTTACATCCTCTGGGGTCAGCTTCTGTTTTTCAATTTTAAAGTCTAGACACAATCTTTGACAGAGATACTGACAAACCATGATAGTAAAGCACTTAGAAAACATGGGGAGCTAAAGTTCAAAACTAAATTGATGGGCCAGCAAATGGCATGGTAGTTAAGGTGCTGGACACCCATAAGGCCAACCACAGTCTGAGTCCCAGATCTGGCAGCTTGAAAATCACACAGGGTGTGTGTGTATGTGCATGCCCAAAACCCCAGGAAAAAAATAGAGGAGAAAAGATTGTGGTGTGGTCATTCTCCCCGGGGGGTGATTTTTCACTTTCCTTCTCTCTGTCTCTCTCCAGCCATCCCAAGCGCCCTATGGCAAAAAAATAAAACTTAAAACTTAATTAATACATAAATAAATGGAGAGCTTTAATAAGGAAGAAATGAGATATGGGGAAACATAGAGGCAGAGCAGTTACATGCTATTTAGGCTAACATTATATACAGGCTAATTCGAGTGCCTAGTTTCATGAAGGCAGGAATAATAGCTCTGAAATGAAGTTCTCTGTAAACCGAAATGTTAGGCAGACATACAGCAGTAGCAGTAATGGCAAGAGCAGCAGCAGCAGCATCAGACGTGTTCCTGACCTAAGGGAGCCCAGGGAACACAAACTACGTACAGAAATAGCAGCACCACAACACAGACTATGAAATGCTGCAAGAGAAATATAAACAGGACGCTAAACAGCCAAGAATCAAAAAAAGGAATTCAACTTCACTAATACTCAAAAGACTGCAACATAAGATAGGATTACTATATATATATATACTCTCAGGTTACACTTTGAAAAGAAAAATATGATCACTGCTAGAAAGACTTAAAATGGGACTTACAGCATTCTATGGCAGGCAGACATGGAGCGACTGGGACATTCTACACGAACAGGACCAGGAAAGAAAAGACTCAGAAGGGGCAAACACAGTGAGCATGGAGACTCATTAAGGGTTCAGATTGGACCCTGGCTCAGTGCCTGGTCAGCCAGTAATGCAGAACACACCTACGGGCCCAGGACCCTGGCTGGCTGGGAAAGGTTTCGGGGTGGGGGCAAGGTCATGGCATGGGACCCTATTAAAGGTGCTTATCTTTTTCTCTCTCTCATGAGAGAATTAAGTAAATAAACGTCTTTTTTTTAAGTTTGTTCAGGTTTTAGCTGTAGGATGCCCTGAGAGAGACAGAGATGGTGAGAGGGAAAGTGAGAAATCACCCCCCAGGGAGTACAGCAAGGTCCCAAGGGGATGGAAAATGGAGAAGGGACTACAATGTGACCACACCCCACTGAGGGGTACTTTCTCTCTCTCCTTTGCCCCCTCTCTTCTGGCAAGTACATGCACCTTTTGGAAAAGAAGCTCTACTCTATGATATAGTCCCTAAGTTACAGGGCTCTGTTTTGTCTTGAGCTCTAAGAAACAGAAGAAGCCACTTTACAACACAACTTGCCATATACCCATTTCCTCATACACACTACCAATTAGATTATGTAGCCCACAATAACTAAACCACAGCTTTGTCCCTTTTATGATTTTAAGATCTTATATGCTCAGAAAAATGTTCCTTAATGCCCACATTTTGTCCTGATCAAATCACTATATTTTTAAAGCAGGCAGACATTCCTTATAGACTATCATAATGAAGAAGACTTACTTACCTACTAGAAACAAGACTATATAAAACAATGAATCCTTTATTAAAAGAAAAAAAGATTATTTTTTGAAATGCTTCCAGAAAAAAAAAAGTCTACATTTAACTGTGGACTGGAAACCTATAAATCATAAGTCATTTACTGAGATTTCCATTAAAAAAAAAAAAAAAAAAAACAGTGACAGTGACAGTGTGAGCGCATCTTCATCAAGTACAGAGGTTGGGTCTCACACACAGGGATTCCGCCTCACCTGTTTGAGGGCCAAATGGGGTCTGTGGTGGCCCATTCTGTTGTGATTGCTGTAAATGACTGCACATAACACATCTGCTTCTGCATCCAAGGCCTGGCTCTTCAGCGACAGTAGAACGAGATGGCATTCTTTAATTACAGCTGCAACACAAAGGTCTAAAGCAGGGACATTTAATAGGATATATGTATTCTATGTTAAATGAGAACACATAAAAAATACACTGAAAAAGGCATCTTATTTGTTTAAAAGGAATCAAGAACAAATGTGAGACCAGCAGTTAGCGTAATGGCTACGTTGCTGACCTCCCATGTAGCTGACTGTGGTTCGAGTCCCGGACCTGGTGGCTTAAACTCACACCGAGCAGGTGTGTGCGCGTGTGCATGTGTACCCAAGATTCCAAGAGGAGAATGGAGGAGAAGGGATCGCAGCGTGGCCATCCCCCCTCGGGGGTGATTTCTCACTTTCTGTCTCTGTCTTGCGAGTGCATGCGCCCTATAGCAAAAACCTCTCAAAAAAAAAAAAAAAACAAACAAATGTAATCAACCTCAACTAGAAGACCATCATTAAGGATTCTAAGTGAGCTGATGGAAAAATAGTGACAGATGATATAAAGTCCAGGAAATCGTGAAAAGAGGACACTGGTTAAACAAGAACGTCTATCTTACATTATCATCACTTTAATAATCTTTCATATGAATACTCTACAGTCATCATTTGCACACTTGAACCTTAAGTAGTGAATGTGCCATGCAGGTTATGTACTTCTCGAAATCCCCTTTTGCTATGCCTATCAGCAAGAAAGAAATGAGAAATCACAGCAAATGGAAATTTTATTATTTGAGGAATGCCTGATAGAACACAGGATGCTCAGGTTAGATGTTTCCTAATCTGAAAAGCATTAGTGGGACCAGCAATTAACGTAATGGCTATGTCACTGGACTCCCACAGAGTCGACCACGGTTCGAGTCCCGGATCCGGTGGCTTAAACTCACATTGGGCACGTGTGCGTGTGCGCCCAAGATCCCAGAGGAGAGTGGAGGAGAATGGATTGCTGCGTGGCCATCCTTCCTGGGGGGTGATTTCTCGCTTTCTGTGTCTCTGTCTTTCTGGAGAGCACATGTGCCCTATAGCAAAAAACCTCTCAAAAAAAAAAAAAAAAAGCTTTAGTCAACGCTGCAGTTAATGAGCTCAGTGGCTCCAGGTGTAGAGTCCAGCACTCTAAGCGGAAGTAACACATGGCAGCTTTCTACACAGCGTGGAGAATTTTCTTCCACTCTCAACTACCTGGAGACAGAATGGCTGCCCTGGGGACTGACAGTGAGTTGGTCAATTTCTCTTACCTAATGGAAATCAGTAACGAATTTCTGCATAGCATAAGAAGAAAGATTAATCTGTAAACTAAGATAAATGGGAAGGGGGTGTGATAACTTGATAGGCTATAAGTAATTAATATTGATATAAGCTATCACTTAAGTGTTTATTTACCATAAGGGCTTTAAATGCTTTACTTACACCAAATTTTTTTCATTCCCCCATAGAGCCCTATGAAGAAAATACTATTTTTAACTGTTCAAAAGTGAGCAGAGGCATAGAAAGGTTAAATAACTCGCCCCAAACTCCAGCCAAGAGCTAAGATTGTAGCGCAGTCCGGCTCCTGAGTCAAACTCCTATGCCCAACCGACTAAACGCCGGCAACACTACCCTTCACACTCGGGTAAAACGGTGCGCTTTCTCCTAAATTCACATCCATTAGATCCTCCCGAAACTTAGTTAAGTAGTGTGGACTAGCTCCATTTTACGGAAAAGGAGCCCGAAGTCCGTAAAGATTGCAGAGTAGGTCCAACGGGCTCAAATCATGCTCCGGCCTCTTCGGGGGCAGGAGTCAGGAAAGCGGCGGAAGGGCAGCCAGAGCCCCAGGGGGTCCACGGGCAGCGGGTTCCCCGGCTGCACGCTTCCCGGAACCAAGGGCATCAGCCCCTCTGTACGCCCTTCGCCCGGGTCGGAGCATTGCCCCTTCCCAGCTGCAGCCAGGCAGCGCGTAGCCACAGCGAGCCCCGGGAGGGCCCGAGGCCCGCTCCGCCCGCAGCGCCGCACTCCTCTTCCCAGACTCCCGCGGGCTCAGGAAGTCCCGCCCCCACCACGTGCGCCGGCCTGGCGGCCCCTTCCGGAAACGTGTCCGTGTCCGGCTTCACTCACCCAGGACGGCGCCGGGGTCCTGCACTGTCAGTGCGCTGTGACTCCCGGCTTTGGGGATCCTCACGCGGTTCCAGGGCTCCGGGCCCGGCAGCTCCGCAGCCATCTTGCGAGGCGCGGGAGGGCCCAGGAAAGGCGGGGCTCCCGGCAGGAAGAGGGCGGGGTGGGGCTGGGCCTGTCTCCCCGACAGGGGCGGAGCCAAGTGCTGGGCGGACCCGAGCGAGTTACCTGCGGGTCACTGAAATCTGCCCGCGGAAAGGACCAGTGGGGACAGTTTGGAGGGCAGTGGCCCCATCACGGTACTACTCAATCCCTGGGGATGACGAGAGATGTCCTCACAAAGCATCCTGACACACACCACGTCTGGAGCTATTTTACTGGTATGGAAACAGACCCAGAATTAGGCTGATTGCATACAGCTCCAGCTCCACTCCTGACAGTACGGGGAAGATGAAGAGATGAAATAAAGTGGCTTTTGGAAGGTGTGACAGTTGTAAAGAGGGGCTGGCCTACATTGTTTGAACAGCCAAGGAAGGCTCTTTGTCTTTGGCAACAGCAAAACCGCGATCACAGGAAGGAAACCTGTGAAGTCGTCTAATCATCCCCATCCGCCATTGGAGCAAGCTGACATTAAAGCTCTGTCAATTCTCAACTCAGTATATTTCGATGTATTTTTTTCTTATTTATTTACATTAAATCACATGTCTTTACGGTGTACAACTTTTTTTCCCAGCACAAATACCATGCATGTCAGTCAAGACGAAGATACTACTATATACATTGTCATCAGCAAATACCTTCTCATTTTTTGATCAATTAAGCATACTTTTACTTCCCCTTTCCCCTCCCTCCCTTCCATACTAAACTCCTTTTTCCACATTTTATTGATTCACAAAAGATCTTAAACTAAAAATATGGACAAAGCTAGGTCTAGTAACAAGTGTACTGTAATTATCTTCTGAAACATTTTTTCTCTCCATTCCCCCTTTAAATAAAGAGAAATATAAACTAACTTATTTGCCCCCCCAAAAAATTAGGTTAATCTCAATTTGGTCTGTTATTTGCACAAAAACCCATAAGAATTCAATTTCTGATGCAAGGCAACAGATACTATTTGTATTTTTGAACTTATGCAAATAACCATCGTGCCATAAAATAAGAATGCTCACAAATATTTTCCAGTTGCAAAGGGGTCAGGAAAGGAGAAAAGTTTATGTTTCAATTAAAAAAAATTGTTTAGCAAATTGCTGAACCTACCAACTACTCAAAAGAAAGCCAATAAATCTAGAAGACAAAGCATAGAAGAACATCAGTAATAGTTTAGACAAAAGTCATAGAATTCTATCTCACCAGTTCAGCCTCATGTAACCTCTCTTTTGTTGAATTTGTTGTGTTACTATGGTCTGATCTCTATGCTTGAATCCTGAAAGTTAGTATTCGACATTATTATTGATATTTCTGAACTTGCTTCTACCATGAAGTTGACCTTTTTCTTGGTCATTTTTTTGTTCTCTTATTTCTGTCTGTCTAACTTGAGTTTTCCTGGTATAGCACTCCCTTTATCACTTCTTGGAGAGCTGGTCTGGTGTTGGTAAATTCTTTCAGGTTTTGTTTATCTGAGAATGTGTCAGGCTTTTCTTCCCACATGATATCTTTCAGTGTATTAATGATTTATTCCTACTCAGCCATATTGATGTCCTCATAAAGTCCCCATCCTAATATATTAGAGAGTCAGAAAGTGAATTTTAGAGGACTGCCAAGGTTCTAATGCTAGCTCTATTGCTTACTAGCTCTGTGATTATCAGGAAAGTTTAACTCTTCCACATTTTAATAGCCCTATGGGTAAAATAAAGATGATGATAATACTATATGCCTTACAGGATTGTAAACTGCTTTAGAACAGTATCTGACATACAAATAATAACCATCAACCACAGTTAATATTATTACTATTCGATAAAATACCCTGGCATACAGTAGGGCCTAAATAATCGGTTAGATAATGCTTATATGGAATTTTTGGAGGCAGTTAAAGGATGAAGGACTTTCACCCAGAGGAGTGTTAATATTAGGCTGGTTGCCTGGCCCCCCTCCGGGGGCCCCGCAGCCAGGGGCTTCTACCCCTGCGCAGCCAGCCGCGCACCAGGAACAGCCTGGCCCCCCTCCGGGAGCCAGGCCTCCCAGGCCTCTCAGGCACTGGATGGCCGGGAGGCCAAAAACAAGGTTGAAGAACTTGCAACTTGAGAAGATGATAGTTACCAGCCCTGCATTACCTCAGGGGAAAACAAGAACTACTCTGCCATTCTTAAGGAAGCCAGATACCCAAGGACAACTCACACTGCAGATCCCCACAACACCATTCCTGGTAACTACAAGATGACTGCTGTGCCACATCAGCTGATAATCATCCCTGCGTACCAGAACTGCTTTCCTGAAACTGCACTCCCTGGAGACTCACCTACACTTGTGGATCTGCAGGAGACCCTCCCTTAATCCAACCCTGAGTGGAGTTTATGCTCCCTATTGCCAAAAACTTTATGAGCTGATGGTTGGAACTCGTGGCCTCTCTCCCTTTACTTGTATGTATCACTTTTTCAGTAACTCTTCTGGAAGACAACTGTATATAGCAGGGATATTGTAATGGGAGAGTGAGACAGGGCAGAGGGACAAACATAGGAAAAAAAAATT